TTCATAGATTATTTCAACACTACAAATTTAGTAATTTTTTGCTTGCCTTTTGAATAAGACCAAGTTTTCATCCAAAAACCACTACATTAATTAACCCTTCAGCGTTCAGGTTTCATATATTGCCATCCAAAAAGTCAGTATTTCAATAACTATATCATTTCTTTCCATGGCCAAAAGTAAATAAATTACTACCATTCTTGTACATGAATAAATAATGTGCCTAAATCAAGCCCATTATAAATTTACATTAAAAGTTACAATTATGAGGGATATTAAGTACATCTGATATTTCAATGAATTAAATATAATATAAATATTAAATAAAATTAATGGAATATGTGGAGTGAAATCGTTCAAGTTTCTTTCCCCCGTGGTCGACGATCTCAACAAAAGATTCAACAGGCGAGGAGAAGGGCTCGGGAGAGCGCCCCGTCTGCCGGGCGGGTGCCAGCGTCAAAATAACACAAAAGTCATACACGCAAAACAGGGGGTCCTTGAAAACTCGTGGCAAAAGCGTCCGCCAGGGGCCCGCCAACATAAGAAAGGGGGAAAAAAAAGAAAGCCATGTTGCTGCACCTCTCTTCTGGCAGTGGAACTCTCCAAATTCAAACTGAACACAGGTATTGCGTAAATATAAACTTTAAAAATAGTAACCTTGAATTAGTTTCAGAATTCTTTCAAGTGATGTTTTATCACTATAATAAAATATTTTTCATTGCAACTTTTCTCTTTTTGTCCGGAATGACCAATTATTAAGGTGTGTTTGCCACAGCGCCCCGACACGTTAGCCACGTTCGTGAAATAGAAAATCGAAATCATTTCTTGAATGTTAATCAACTGGGCCCACCGCCTCCAGTTATGAGCCCCATGTGGTTGCATCAATGGCTGGTTCAAAAAAAAACCGGTTCACATGACTGAACGGTACTGCTACTTCTTATAAGTGAATGTTATTGTAACATGAAGGCCTACATGCTTTTCTGTAATTTTTGCAGGTATTTTCCTGAATGTTGTATTAATTTTCTTCCCTTGATTTGCCTATATTATTTCTAGTAAGGTGTATATGCACAAAGTAAATCATGAATGTTAATTTTGTGAAGTTTTTTTTTTTTTTTTTTTAAATTTCCTGTTATCCAATTTATAATAGTGAATTGTAAATCATTTGTAATATTTCTTTTTCAACTAGTTCACATTCATGCCTAAAGGCAAAAATCTATTGTATCGAAGAAAGAAGATTCTTCGAGAATTAGATTATCAAGTAAAAATATAGGGAGAAAAATCGACGGGTCTGATGTGTCAAAAAAGCCAAACAAAAAAAAAAGCGCATGGAAAAAATTACCCAAGAGCTTCAATGGCGTAGATGAGAAAAATGCGTCAGTAAGTAACCTAAACCAAGAAATATTACACTTGAAATTAAAAATGTTCACTTGAAATTGAAAATTACAACATTGAAATACTGTTATATTACAGAAACCACAGAACAACTGCAACAAGTTGTGGGAGATATAAAGTTCTTGGAGGAAGAATGAGTTGAGCAGCTGATGACTCGCCGAGCTTATGGGCACTCGGGGGGTGGGTCCCCAATGCAACAGGAACACTCGAGGAGGACCCAAGAACTAGGCATTCCTGCGGAGTAGACATCCGTCTGCCAGGATCAAATTGATTAGTGATAATTGTAGAACTTGTAAGAATGGCGAAGCTTCAGATTTATGTGTGGCTGCGAAAGAGTCCTATCCTGCGCGGCAAGAGGAAACCCCAATTAAACACTGAGGTTCCATCAGCAAAGTTTTATTCCACCGAATTCCCTTGGAGCCAGAGGCCAAAGCTGGCACGTTCTTAGTCAATACCAAGCCAGTCTCAGTTCAGGGAGGAAACGGAAGCTCCCACCACTCCCAGGCCTCAAAACGCCTAGTCTTTTTAACTGAGCGAGTTAAGAATAGAAAAGCTTCCTATTTAAATGATTTAGAAAGAGAGTTAAAAGTTGGTGAACTTAAGGAAAATGGAAGCGAAAGCTCCATTGTGAGGCTTGTTGGAGTGGCAAGTGAAATGTCCAAGAACAAATTTTAAATTACAAAACTTGAAAAATGGAGCTCCTGCAGAGAAATTCGAAACTGAAAGAACTGGGGGAACCAAAATTCACGAGTGGAGAAATTGTGAGATGAAAAATTAAAAAAAGTTTTAAAAAAATTTATGTAATATTTGATACAAAAATAAATTAATTATTAAAATAGCGTTGTATGAAAGGCTTGCTTTATCACATTTCAAGGTACAGCTGGGTGGTGTTTCCACCTCAATTATGTTCCTTTCAACATCACCTTCGTCCAGATCCACAAAATCACCAATTTTCAATACCAATTATTTGTAAAGAACTGCACAAGCGCAGTTATAATTCTAGTTAACGTTTTTTTACCTTGTTCTGCATTTTGAAAATACAAACAAGGGAACCCTTCTTTTCCATCTCCCAATCAACCTTTCCACACTACATTCTCCGTTATGCTTTCAGTGCCCTTTATAATTATTGTTCAGAGCGATTCCATTGGATTTTGCGACAGGTGTTATAAACATATTTCTTTGTTGGCATAAGCCACTGTCCCCAAGCATGGATGCCCAGCTACTTGTCCTTCACTGAGACGTACACGCACAGCACTGTTTCAAATATTTCTGCTATTCATGGGGAGAACCGCCAAACTCACTACAATATCTAATATCTCCTCATTTAGGGCCCACCAACCATTTGCACATTAATTGAAAAATATGCTTTTCTGTTGTCGGAAAATCTCGCATTGGCCCTCCAGACTTTTATTGGAATGTGGGTTCATCAATTACTCCGCACTTACTGCCTGGGAAACCAGCCTTCCTATAAATTTGTAATTTTTAAATTGTTGAGGATGGAGCGTTCAGCTGCTGTAACTTATATACTTGCTGATGTAGCGTGCAAAGGTCTCTGACACTTCACCAATTATCTGCATACAGAGTTGACTGGCTAATTGTCATACAAATCAGTCACAAACAATCTGAAATTCATAATACATAGTCATTATTCAATAAATAATTACAGCTTCATTTTATTGCATTGCATTAATAAACAACCAATACTGGCAGACCATGTTCTTATTATGCTGTATTATTAAGGTTACTTGTGACAAAAAATATGAAACTTTCGAACGTAAAATGATCATATTAATTGCAGATCACATTGCCATGCAACAAGTTGAAAGAATTGCATATCTCTACTTATCTGATGACCCAAATTAGGGTTTAAAACTTGGCAGTTCAACCAGTTTCCATCACATCATAAAGTGTATTATCGTATAATTTAGGTTTGTTAATATTTTTCAAACTTGTTTAACTCATTAGATTTCTATTACGTCTAACATGTCTGCACACAGTCAAAACAAGATGTTTTGGTATTGGTATATTTTATTAATGTGTATACTGCCAATCGCTAACAGGAAGCACATTTATAACAATATAATCTATGATTATTGTTTAATTTCGATGACTTGACACTGGTAATATGTTAATATTTTAAAAATATATTTCCTACCAATCCTTAACAATAAATGTTTGGTAAAAAGTATAATCCATGAACCTCATATTAAAATTTTAATGAATCTCTTCAATGTCTTGTGCATTTTCTACATATTATTTATGTGCATTATTTGATTGTAATATAATACTACATCAGTTTCAATTGATACCATAACGTTAACTTATGCTCTAGTATAATTAATGTAAATGGTTTGAAGATAGGACTGCCAATATTGGTAACAGATTATTAACATCTCGTGTAATAAAAATGTTAACCCCATATAGCATTCACATAAATCAATTTTACAATTTAAATTACTTCACTTGTTATTCATATTGCAAATTCATAATTAATTAAAATCTTATAAATCAGTAATGAATAAAGGTTAAAAATTTTGGAAACATACCTGAAAGGATGAAGTTGCATAAAATCTTAATGCAACTAGAACTTTTTGTAACTGGAGCTTCTGGATATCCTGTATACATCAGCAAGAATAAATAATAAAAAACATTTTTGTTGTTATGTATGAAAACAAAATAAATAATTCCTTGCACTGCTGTAATCATTCAAATGCATAAATACTGATCACAAATAATAAAACATTTTCTAAACTTTTCAAATATTTTTTTCTCATTACATAAATGCTAATTTAGCCTTACCAAATGTTGAATTGGCAGAATATTTGTTTTTACTTTATACTGCTACTGCTTACCTAGTATAAAGTATTGTAATGTTGCTGTTGGAATGGATTATTTGACAGTAAATCTCTTCCTGTTCCAATTTGTTGTAAAATACTTCGTCTTACGCGTTGTGTGGTGAGAATCCAGTGTGGTGATATCGTAAACCATCTTGACGATAAAGTAAGTGTCTGTGTGAACGCTAGCGCCTAAACAGTTGTGATAATGATCTCCAAAACTGATATTTCTCGATTGATATGAACGAACTCGAGGCTTTGGGAATTCCAAACGGATATTTTGATTTCGGGGTTCTTTACAGCCTGAAAAACAATTTCATTTTTTTAAAATGATTTCAAATATGTTGATTAAACTTCGTCTTCGGATAGTGTAGAAGAGGCATAAAACAATGGCACAGATTTCAGTATCATTGAAATAGCTGATTTTTCGAAATTGGCAAATACTGCTCATTTTTCGTCGATACCATTTAAGGTTTTACGTATATTACAATATTTAAGATTCAGTTGTTCAAAGATATCTTGAAATAAGGGCATGTAATTTTTTCGAAAATATCTGTGGGTGCAGTGTAATAGTGTGAAATGTTATTAAACATATAGTTTACCAAAAACGGCTTCATTTTTATTATTTACGTGCTGTTGTAGCATTACATGTTTGTGTGTGTTGTATGTGTGTGGATGGATAATTCATTTTTTTAAATATGTGTCATTAACTCTCTGCTTTGCATTGTGATCAACGAAAGAAAAAAAAAATGCATGAGTGTTTTGATCCACTTGCAGGAGCTAAAACCACCAATCCGAGTGTTCCTAGTTCCTGAGGAGGTTCCCAGTGGAGAGGTGATCCAGGCAGGCGAGGTAAGAACAACGCCATCTACCCAGTTTTATTTTAAACGATTAATTCCAATTTGTGTTTTTTGAAAGTCGTGTGAAACAAGTTGCTACTATATGAGATATGTTAGTGATAATGACAAAGCCGGATTTCATTACCTTCAGTGGAACTCTGGACAAGTTAACTCAAAACAGCTGGCAGAGATAATTTCATGAGAAAAAAGCTGTCATTAAAAAAACAATGATTTTCTTGACATTGCGATCAGTGACTATTTGGCTTACACTCGTGTATCCCTAACCGCACGGTTGCGAGCCACGGTTAGTTTTAAGTTCGAGTGAAACTAGGCGGAGTCTCCCTTGTATATCAGTAACCCCCTCCTTGTTCCACCCAAAATGTAGATGAAGCGAAGTATACAAAGTAGTTTTTTTTTTTTAATTGTCAAGTTTGTCATTTTGCACAGTCTGCGGCGAATTATTTCGACATTTATTTTATGTAGCTCAGTTTGAATTCATTTTTGCAAATCCAAAGATACAACTGCGCTTTGCATCTTTTATGTAAACTCATCAACAATTTTTACAAGTCAACTTTGTCGCACATGACGCTATAAGCATGTAAACTCGAAATTCTGTTGAGCCGATCTTGCAACATCGATGATAGGATATACGTTCGGAAACGACACAGAAATCGTGACCACCAAGCGAACAAACCATACAAAATCTGGGGTAAACCCTTTTGTTCATTCACACTTTTTCCGAAAACTACGATTTTCCTGTAGTTTTTCGTCGATTCATTTTGTCTTTTCAAAACTTTCCTGTCATGGTCGCTCAGCAATCGTTCTCTACCGAAATCATTGATTGAAAACTACAAATTTATCGATTTCATGTAACCGTATTGGATTCATTTTTATAATATAATCTTATTTGCCCTGAAATCATTATCACACTCGCTCCAGATGTCCCTACACGCATGTCCAATTCCAATGTATAAGAAGTGAAGTTAACGTACAGTGAATTTTGAATTTTGCTCTTTGACATATATGGAATATTTCTCTCACCCCAAATCTCGAGTATTTTCCCCACCCGGGGTAAAATTGTTCACGTGTGTGTAGCTACCCACCAAACCAAATTCACCTGACCAGTAGGGTTGCGGGGAACAACGCCAACAAATGTGGTAAGGGCCAGGCATTCTGATTCCAGTAGAAATTAAGGTATTTTTTATTCTGTATTCACTATTTGTGAGTATTCAAGAGGCTTAAGGATTAAGTAAGCTGAATGTTTGGATGGGGAAGGCTCACAAAACTTTTTCTTGAGACCCCATGATATGGGCGGCCCTGTTGTGCGAAATCTTATGAAAGATGCCAGAAATCCAATTTTAGTCCATCACCATAATTACTAGAACTGTCGAAGCATACTTCTTCGAATTCGACATTACCCGTCACATGGTAGCTAGAGCAGGTGAAGAACGTTACAATAATGAGGAATATAATTTGAGAGATAAACGAATATTTGTCAGCTGGTGGGACGTTACTGAGGCTAGTGAAAGACAAGGTCTGCAGGTTCGAGATTCACTACATCACAATTTTTTCCTCGGTCTTCGCGAAAGAATCGTGACTCTGTGCAACGCGTAATTTCCAAACCATTCTGAATCACAATCACTAGCTGACACCGCATACTAGTGACAATTTATAATTTTATACTAGTGCCATACCAGTGCAGTTTAAAATCGTGTTGTAATTTGGCCTGTGAATAAACTAGGAGCCAAACCTAATCCAACATTTTTACCAAAATGTATTCTAGCTAACCCACCTACACCCACACTTCTTACCTTCACAGCAGCACGCATGAACCGTAAGCGGGTTATCAAGATTTTGCTCGTGAAGCGAGCTTAAAAATCTAGGGAGCAGGATATTTCAGGGTGCGATAAGGTTTGAACCCCTTGACACCAATAAAAAATCACACAGATTGCACACAAAATAGCGTATAATTCACCCCATAAAGACGTTTAAGTGGCATAAGTTAATACAGAAACCAAGAATCTAGAATCACACTTTTTCAAAGAACAAAACACAAATAGAAACCTTTACAACACACTCTCATATGAATGAACACATATAATTTACTCCAAAATGGATACTCTGAAATAATTACCGTAATCTACACTGGGAATTCCCTTGGAAAATTAATTTTATCTAAATGTATGCTATTCTAATTACATTGCTCATGAAACCAAAAATTCAATTTATAACCTTCTGCTTAAAAATATTACATGTAAAGAACAGAATGTGTGCAAGTGCACTACTCTCATTTACAATTTAACTGGTGTCTGAAATGGCAGAATAAGTGATCGCTAAGTAGATGTTTTAATGCAGGCAAATAGCGCATCCAAAAATTGCTCCTACTAATAAATACTGCAATTTGTTGCCCACCTCGTCGTGCCTGCAAATTCTTAACACTTCCTCTATTAGTTTTTCCCCTGCCCGACGTGAACTTGAACCTATTTTCCGCAATTCCTACGCTCGTGGATTCCCACATTTTGGCCTTGACTGGTCCGTGCGCTGGTCTCTGCGTCGACCGTCGCTCGCGTCCAGCTTCTGCGTCGTAACGAAACGGGATCTCGCCCTCTGCCGTCTATCGCTGTCTCTGGCGTCACTCTCCGTTCTTTCTCGTAGTCGATCCGTCTTCTTCCTCGTGCGCCTGGGTCCTCGGCCTCTTCTTCTTCCTCGTCTTCTACCGGCCCCTCTGACTACGTCCACGTTGCGAAAATGTCCCTTGCACTTCACTAAATACTCGTGCCAGTTCCTCGCTCGTTGCTACTTCTACTTTGCTAAACCAGAACTTTCAATGCTTCTCTCACAACGGGTGACTTTTACTTCCCGTGTTAATTGAAGAAACACTTTACTGAATCTGCACTATCTCGCGGACGACTGACTAGAACGTCTGTTCGACGAGGCTTAGTATCCGTTGCCCGTACTAAACGAAGTCGAACTTGCAAGCAATGTTTTTCCTTTGTGAAAGGGTTGAGAGAAGGGAAGCCCGCCCCACCCTCGAGAATTTTCCCCAAGGCGCCGCGCGATAAATACGCAAACCCGCAAGCAGGAAGCTCTCTTTTACCATCGACGAGTAAGCAGCATTTTGATCACCGTCCGCGTATGTCACCATTTTTCTGTTAAAACATTAGTTTAGATATTGTTGCCGCTGCACGACTCTAGTAGGAGCTATTCGGCGTCGAACAGACGTTCTAGTCATCGTCGCAGATAGTGCAGATTCAGTAAAGTGTTTTCTTCAATTAAACACGGGAAGTAAAGGTCACCCGTTGTGAGAAGCATTGAAATTCTGGTTTAGCCAAAGTAGAATTAGCAACGAGCGAGAACTAGGCACGAGTATTTTAGTGAAGTGCAAGGGACCATTTTCGCACGTGGACGTAGTCAGAGGCGGCCGTATAGAAAGACGAGGAAAGAAGAAGAGGCCGAGGACGCCAGGCCGACGAGGAAGAAGACGGATCGACTAACGAAAAGAACGGACGAGTTGACGCAGAGAAGCGATAGACGGCGAGGGCGAGAATCCCGTTTCGTTACGACGCAGAAGCTGGACGAGCGACGGTCGCGAGAGACCAGCGCACGACCAGTCAAGGCCAAAAGTGTGGGAAGTCCCACGAGGTAGGCAATTGCGGAAAATAGGGTTCAAGTTCACGCTCGGCAGGGGAAAAACTAAGTATGAGGAAAGTGTTAGATTTGAGGACGACGGGTGGCAACAAATTGCAGTATTTATTAGTAGGAGACATTTTTTGGATGCGCTATTGCCTGCATTAAAACATCTACTTAGGACAGCTTATTCTGCCATTTTCAGACACCAGTTAAATTGTAAATGAGAGTAGTGCACTTGCACACATTCCTGTTCTTTTTACATGTAATATTTTTAAGCAGAAGGTTATAAATTGAATTTTTGGTTCATGATGCAATGTAATTTAGAATAGCATACATTTAGATCCGAGGAGGTAATTAATTTTCAAGGGAATTTCCAGATGTAGATTACGGTAATTTATTTCAGAGTTCCATTTTGGGAAGTTAAATTATATGTGTTTCATTCATGATGAGTAGTGTGTTGTAAAGGTTTCTATTTGTGTTTTGATTATTTCTTTGTAAAAAGTGTGATTCTAGATTCTTGGTTTCTTCATTAACTTATGCCACTAAACGTTATTATGGGGTGCAATTATACGCTTTTTGTGTGCAATCTGTGTGAATTTTTTGATTGGTGTCAAGGGGTTCAAACTTTATCGCACCCTGAAATATCTGCTCCCTAGATTTTTAATGCTCGCTTCAACGAGCAAAATTCTTGATAACCGTTACGGTTCATGCGGTGCTGCTTGAGAGTAGATGGGTGTAGGTGGCGTTAGCTAGAATACATTTTTGGTAAAAATGTTGGATTAGGTTGGCTCCTAGTTTTATTCACAGGCCAAAATTACAACACGATTTTAAAACTGCATCTGGTATGGCATATAGTATAAAATTATAAATTGTCACTAATATGCGGTGTCAGCTAGTGATTGTGATTCAGAATGGTTGGAAATTACGCGTTGCACCAGAAGTCACGATGTCTTTCGCGAAGACCCCGAAAGGGGAAAAAAAATGTGTGATGTAGTAATCTCGCAACCTGCAGACCTTGGTCTTTCACTAGCCTCAGTAACGTCCGACCAGCTGACAAATATTCGTTTATCTCTGCAAATTATATTCTATTATTGTAACGTTCCTTCACCTGCTTCTAGCTACCATGTGAACGGGGTAATGTCGAGATTCGAAGAAGTATGCCTTCGACAGTTCATAGTATATTATGGTTGATGGACTAAAATTGGGATTTCTGGCTATCTTTCATAAGATTTCGCACAACAGGGCCGCCTATCATGGGGTCTCAAGAAAAAAGTTTTGTGAAGCCTTCCCCATCCAAACATTCAGCTTTACTTAATCCTTAAGCCTCGAATACTCACAAAAGTAGTGAATCAGAATAAAAAATCCTTAATTTCATAGCTGGAATCAGAATGCCTGCCCTTACACATTTGTTTGGCGTTGTTCCCGCAAACCCTACTGTCCCGTCAGGTGAATTTGGTTTGGTGGGTAGCTACACACACGTGAACAATCTTTACCCGGGTGGGGAAATATCACTGCGAGATTTGGGGTGAGAGAAATATTCCATATATGTCAAAGAGCAAAATTCAAAATTCACGTGTACGTTAACTTCACTTTTATACATTGGAATTGGACATGCGTGAGGGACATCTGGAGCGAGTGTATATATGCTTTCAAGGGCAAATACGATTATATTATAAAAATGAATCCCAATAACGGAAGAAATCGGATAATTGTTAGTTTTCAATCCAAATGATTATCTGGTAGCGAACGATTGTAGAGCGACCATGAACAGGCAAAGTTTTGAAAAGACAAAATGAATCGACGAAAAACCTACAGGAAAATCGTAGTTTTCGGAAAAATAGTTGAAATGAACAAAAGGGTTTTACCCCAGATTTTGTATGGTTTGTTCGCCTTTGGTGGGTTCCACGATTTCTGTTCGTTTCCGAACGTATATCTAATCATCGATGGATGTTGCATAGATCGGGCTCAACAAGAATTTCGAGTTTACATGCTATATAGCGTCTGTGCGACAAAAGTTGACTTGTAAAAATTGTTGATGAGTTTTACATAAAAGAATGCAAAGCGCAGTTGATATCTTTGGATCAAAAGTGAATTCAAACTGAAGCTAACAATAAAATAAATGTTCGAAATAATTCGCGACCGCGATTCCAAATGACAAACTTGACAATTGAAAAAAAAAAAAAAAACTATACTTTGATACTTCGCTCATCTACATTTTGGGTGTGAACAAGGAGGGGGTTACTGATATACAAGGGAGACCCGCCTAGTTTCAACGTCGGAACTTAAAACTAACCGTGGCTCGCAACCGTGCGGTTAGGGATACACGAGTGTAAGCAAATAGATCACTGATCTCATGTCAAGAAAATCATTGTTTTTTAATGACAGCTTTTTTCTGCATGAAATTATCTCTGCCAGCTGTTTTTGAAGTTACACTTGTCCCAGAGTTCCGCACTGCATAGTTAAATGGAAATCCGCTTTTGTCCATTATCACTAACATTATCTCATATAGAATAAAAGCAACTTGTTTCAACCGATTCAAAAACCACAAATTGGAATTAAGCGTTTAATAATAATACTGGGTAGATGGCGTTGTTCTTAACCTCGTCGCTGCCTGGATCACCTCTCCACTGGGAACCTCCTCAGGACCTAGGAACACTCGGATTGTGGTTTTAGCTCTGCAAGTCGGAGTCAAAATAAACACTCAATGCATTTTTTTTTTTTCTTTCGTTGATCAGCCAATGCAAAGCAGAGAGTTAATGTGACAAACATATTTAGAAATAAAGGATGAATTAATTCCATCCACACACATTAACAACACACACAAACATGTAATGCTTACATACAGCACGTAAATAATAAAAATGAAAGCCGTTTTTTGTTAAAACTATATTGTTTAATAAACATTTCACACTATTTACACTGCACCACAGATATTTCGAAAAAATTACCATGCCCTTACTTTCAAGATCAATCTTTGAACAACCTGAATTCTTAAATATTGTAATATACGTAATAAACTTAAAATGTATCGACGGAAAAAATGAGGCAGTATTTGCAATTTCGAAAAATCAGGCTATTTTCAAATGATACTGAAATTTCTGTGCCATTTTGTTTTATGGCCTCTTCACACTAATCCCGAAGACGAAGTTTTTAATCAAAACATATTTGGAAAAATTCATTTTTTTTAAAAAAAAAAAAAAAATTTTTTTTTTTTTTGAAAAAAAATTTTTTTGGGTTTTTTTTTAAAAAAAATTTTTTTCCCCCCTTTCTTCTTT